TTTATCAAATCCAAAGTACCTCCAAATAAGCGAGGTACTATTTTCTTTTTTTTCCTTTTTTTTTTTAAGGCACGAGTTCATAGTCAGCGTTCTCGTCATGCGTCTCGCTGTCAGCCATTACAACTCTGACTCGTTGCTGCAGCGTTGTTCGCTCCCCACCTACGTAGGAGGCAGGCCTCTAATCCATTTGATTGGCTGTGAAGGGCTCTATACGACTGGTCAAATGTATAAAGGGGTTTCTTTGATTGGTAAATTCTTTAAAGCACGTGTGTAAACATTTTAAGGTACCCAATTATCGCAGTTTACGCCGTCCTTTGCGATGGGCCCATCGCACATGCTGGTATCGCAATGACAATAAATTTTCGATTTATTGTGCAGGCCTAATAGTAACCAATGACCAAATGCAGCAGTAATGTATAAACACAGAGAGTGAAAAGAGATGAGCTTTATTAAAAGCTTTATTAAAAAGATAACTAAAGAGGGTGTCTGTCTCCCGAATCCAAATTGGGAGCTGGTTCCACTGCAGAGGGCCCAGAAGCTGAAGGCTCTGCTTCCCATTCTACTTTAAAAAAGCAAGCCTGCAGTCTGAGAGCAAAGTCCTCTGTTAAGATAATAAGGTACTATGAGGTCTTTAAGATATTGCGGGGCCTGATTACTCAAGATTTTGTATGTAAGAAGAAAAAGTTTGATTCAATTCTGGATTCGACAGGAAGCCAATGAAGAGAAGCCAATATGGGAGAAATATGCTCTCTCTTTCCAGTCCCTCTCAGGACTCTTGCTGCCAGTGGCGTGTCCAGCGGGGTGGCCTGGGGGGGCACAAGCCACCTCCCCAACCAGACTGGCCACCCCAGGTGCCACCCCAAAGGTAAAACAATAAAATTCAATCAAATATCAAATGTACGATTATGTTTTCACGGTGAAGCTCAGATATCCGAGTGTAAGTGAATGCAGCATCACGTTAGCAAAGGTAGGAGAGCCAAGCAGAAAGACAGCACCGCAGGAAACAATTTTTCGGTGAAAGAAAATGAGGACAGAATAAATGTCCCGGTAAGTAATATTAAGTTTGTTGAGTTTAGTAAACTTCGGTGAAATTAGAATACCAAGGAAAAAATAACAGTTAAAGAATTATTGCAGCCATCGAATATTTCAGACAGTATGCTACTGAGGGGAGCTAACATAAGAGTTATGAGTTATAAGATATAATCTAAGTCGTAACATTGCTGTATGGAGCTGCAGATTTGGTTGCAGGTTAACATAGCTGGACTGGCCATCGGGCATACCGGGCATGTGCCCGGTGACTTATTTATTTATTTTGTAATGGCATGAACAATGAGAGGTGGTGGATTGGCCAGATGCAGGTCGATGTGTAAAAATAACTCAGTTGTTTGGTGGTGGCTATGGCGGGGCTTCCACAGAGGCCAGCAGGTGGATGAGGGAAGGGGAGGCAGGAGGAGAGCCCCGAGGCAGCCGCCAGTCCGAGTGTCAGGTGAACTGAACTTCAGGTAAGAAGTTATGACCTGCAGTCTATCTGGGTCAGATATAAACCAAGTTTAGGTGTAGTTTATTTTTGTTGTGCTGACTTTTTACAGTTAGTTAGAATAACTCGTACTGCGTACTAGCTAGCATGACGGAGTTTCTACACAAAGGGGGGCACAAAGAAATACTTTTCTTTCTTACTCTCATTTAAAATATCTAGCTTTTATTAAATAATTATCTAAATCTTACAACCAAAGTTTTTATCTGATGTAAAATGTATAGAAATCATACATATACCAACAAGACTGTACATCACTGTCACAACAGCATTTGTTTTCATTCAAAGTCTTTATGGCTTTAATACCTGGGGGGCCGGTCTGTAGTCAAAATGCCCGATTTTCTGTCCCGGTCCAGCCCTGCAGGTTTATACTGGCAGTGTCACCATGCCAGCTGACTGTATTTCATCATCAGCCAGTGTTGTTCTTTATCAATATTACCAAAGTTTACCATAAGGCAGCATAGCAAGTATTTACTTGCTTTCAGGTTTTATTCAAATGTTAGTCTTTTCAGTTGTTTCCCCACTTTTTTCCTGTTTCAAAATCACCAGTTTGTGAGAAGATTATCTTCTTTTTTTAATAGGCAGATAAAGTTTTACATTGGAACTGGCTAATTTGTCAATTGTTTGTTACAAATGTTCGTATTTTAATATTCAAAAATGTTTTTGCCCAAAACATATGTGCACTATATGTCAGTAAAAATACTATGCAAATATTGCTGTCCTTGAATGCTGAGTAAACACTGACAAAGCACTGATTGTATCTCTTGTACTTTGTCAACGCAGTATCTAAAAACTTTGCACCGTAGTGGTTAAAATCTCATTCTAATAAGAGTTAAAAGCGCATTCGGTTATTAGGTTTATAGGGTTATTGAATTATGGTTAATGGTTGGTAGAATTTTTTTTAAGCATTATCTGCTAATTACATCTGCCACCCTTCTCCAAATCTGTGCCCCTACCTGCCCCCCCAACAAAAATTTTCTAGACACGCCACTCCTTGCTGCAGCACTCTTGAGCAACTCGAGGCTTTTCAGAGAGCTTTTAAAGCGGCCTGATAATAACGAGTCACAATAGTCCAACCTCAAAGTAATAAATGCAGAGTTACAGTTTCAGCATCACTCCAAGTCAAGATGTTTCTAATTTTAGTGATATTGTACTGATAAATGAAATCAGTTCTACATATTTGCTTAAGGTGCACAAATGGTAAAAAACGACAAACATGAATCTGTGATTGGCTGCAAACTGGACACATTTGAAGCTGTGGTGGTAAGAAGGTCAGAGGACAAACTATTCTCCATCCTCTGAAAAACATGCTGAGAACCTTCTTAAACAGAAACATCTTTTATTGTTTACTGTGATGTTGTAAACTTTTTTGTTGTGTTTGAGAAAAGAGAATATTTTATTGCATAAAACAGTGCTGATCGCATTTTTCAAACATCTGCTTTGGCAGCTGACTGTGGGGCTCGGTACACCCGGCTTGGCGTGGAAAAACAGAGTGTGAGACTCCAGCTTCTCTTTAGTCTGATGACTCAAACAGGCTCTCCCCCACTCTGTCATTTAAACAGTGCTTTACAAACCTGAACATTGGAGCTAACAGCTGGATTTTCCTGTTTCAGTGCAGCTGAGACAGGAGACAGACAGTGAAAGTGGACGGTACATCCTCGGTTTAACACAAAAACTCATTGTTGCAGGCAGGGGCAGCACAAAAGTTAAACTGATTTTTATTCCAAGTCCCCCTGTTTTCCCCTGAGTTATTGGTCCTGTTACTATGCCTGTGAAGGTTCTCAGTCAGTCAAGGAGCTTGGAAAGAGAAGTGTCTGGACTTCTTTAAGTTTCCTTATTGATCCTCTACCTCGTGTGATTAGGTAGAGGATCAATAGGTCCATGACCCTCTTGGGGACATGGACCTATACTCCCTATGAGAGTATAGGGAATAAAATCTGGGACTCGCCACCAATTGCTCTTAGAACTGAAGAAGCTTCTCCACTGAGAGGTGAAACGTCTTTAAGGAAATTTAAAGAGGTCCAGACGCTTTTCTTTCCAAGCTCCTTAGACGGTTCTGTTACTAGCTAGACTTACATTAGTTTATTTTAGCTATTAACCACAACCAACCAATGGTGTCACGTTCTGTACTGAGAGAAGATGGCGCTACACATTTTTTAGCACTTATTTCTTAAATCCAGCGCTTCACAGACAGAGTTACATCCATGGCTGTTTTTGAGAGCAAGGCTCCATCATGTAAATGAGTCTTTACACATGAAGTGTTTCAGGTCCACTTTAAGCACAATTAAGTACCAAAGAGTGCCAAGCCACTTACCTCAGTGTTACTGGATGTAAGAGAACATATGAAAGTTGCATGTATACTTAAGTGATGATAATAACGTGCATTTACCTTCCTTCATTTCAGTATCCATAAGAGATGAATTTGTCCACTATAATCAAAAGGATACAATGCTTTATGGTGAACTGAGTATACTGTGTATTCATTGCTCCCGAACTTCACCCGTTATTTGCAGGGATTTAATTTCTATTATTGTGGCCCCATCCCTAGGGACTGTAACGGTATAACCCTAACCCAATATTCCAATCATGTGTGACTCCACTACATTCATGTCACAATTTTAATTAATTAATTTACAAAATCAAGACACAGAAAAGATCTTACAGCTCCAATAAGCTACTTTTCTTTTTAATTATTTTACTAATTTGGAAGTTAATTTTGATGTTCATTTGAGCTCAGATGTTTATTTTAGAAAACAAATCAACATTGATTATAATTATAATCAGCAGATCAGTTCGTGACAGAAGTACTCACTGACTACATCAGTCAAATACAGCTTTGATATTAGGAGAATGCAAGAGTTATTAACATGTAATGTTTAACACAGACTGCTCTCTCAACTGAATTCTCCTGATATATTACCTCAACTGTGAGTTACATGAATTCACACAGCCTAGTAATTAAAAACGTAAACAGTAAGTAAGTTAATGCAACTCGAACTCGATTTCGTTATTCGGTTAACACTGGTTTAGTGCTTGGCGGTGACCAGCACGTGTGAGGCAGACACTGACAGTGCATAATACACTGTAATAGTGCAGGTGTGCGAGTGTTATTTTCTGACTTGGGCCAACAGCCCCCCATCCAGCCCGAGTTGGTTGGGCGACCAGACCAGTTCAGAAAGTCTGGATCAGACCCGACAGACTGCTTTGAGCACATTCTCGTGGGGTTACTTGCATTTTTTTTCCACTTACGTGACATTTTCAATACAAAAATCAGAGGTGTTAAGGTCTATTTCACGACATTGGTGCTTTTACATGACCTCTTCCACCACTCGTATGGGTCCCAAAGCTCGAGCAGTCGTGCCAAATAAAAACAGAACTATTTCTGCTAGTCTAAGCTGAGTAAGATAAGAAACATACGAAAACATAAAGTCAGCTAAATTTACGTTTAAGTGTGCCATGTTCTTACCTTCCGAGCTCTCTGCCGGGAATAACAGTGTAGTGGTCGGCGAAAGGTTCGTTGTGGATGGCGGTTTGGATTTCGGACAACAAGCCGCTGACACTGCGGCTCGGTCCAGCTGCGTGGTTGTGATGAAGGCGGCTTCTGCTTCTCGAGTCCCCGGAAAGCGGGCATTCGGGGATCATGGCGTCGATTAATTGGACCGGTTAGTTGGCTAACGTTAAACACTTCAAACAACGGTCAGCACAATTACATTAAATGACGCCGCTTACTACTCTCCGAACGACAACAGAAACCAAACAAAACCCAAAACATTAGGGCGACAGAATAATGTCACGTCTTCTAGGCCAAGCTTCAAATTATTAGCGCAGTCTAACATTGTAATAAAAACACAGCTGGAGAGCTCATTTTGATCACTCAGCGTCCTGCCTGTCAGTCCCTCAACTTGCTCCTCACTTAGAAGCTGAACCGGTGCTGCTGCGTTTTCTGTAACCATGGTAGCACGTGTTGATTGACAGGCGTGCCTGCCAATCGGAATGGGTTACAGAGAGAGAGAGAGAGAGGGGGAGAGACTTCTGTGTTGATCGGCGAATTAAAAATTAAACGTGAAATATATAGCGGGACCAGTTTTCACGTCCCTTTTAATATAAAAAAATGCATACAATGTATACATTTCTATTGCTTTTAATAATAAATATTGATAGAACTGTAAGTCTCTTAAAAAGCAACACAAATGATATGTAAACTACAAAGAACAAAAGCAACAGAAAAGCTAACTGAACAAAAGAGAAATAAAGGCACGCAAGTAATTACACAAAGAAACAAAACATGTAGAAAGAGACGAAGAAGATTAGAAAGAGAAACAAGCATCTACAGAGGAAGGCTCAGGAAGCAGAGTGGATGGTTGGTGGTTTGATGGTCCTTGGCTAAGATACTGAATGATACACTCATCAGAGTGTGAATGTGTGTGAATGTTATACAGAAAGCCCTTAGATATGGAAAACTGTTTATGTTGTATAAAATGCTTTTTGAGTATTCAAGTAGAAAAGTACTTTATAAGAACCAGTCCAGTTTTTATGTTGAGTGGGGAACTTCCAGGTGGGTTTTAGGTCTCATATCCAATACCTTCTTACCTGTATCCAGGGCACACATGAATTTGAGGACTATCTCTACTTAATATGTAATATAAGGCTTATAAAAAATAAAAACCTTTTATCAAAGATCGACAGTGAACCTTTTCATTTTTCACCCCTTTGTCTGTAGAATCAATACACACAGCAGTAACAAAGTGACCATTTTATTAAGATCCATATGGTAAGGTGGGGCAATAGAACAGCCTGAGTATTTAGAAACCTGTTCTCAGTCAGATATGAACTTTAACATTATGTACATACATGTATAGTAACCACACATGAAACTGGAAACTAAAGAAAATATCCATGTTTTAGTGTCACCACCTGGTCTTCTCCTGTCTACTTCTGATTAATTCAAACACACACACACACACACACACACACACACACACACACACACACACACACACACAGACACACACACACACACATATACACACACACACACACACACACACACAGCGCAACAATTTTCCACCACCTTCCCTGTCAGTAGACAGCCCATCACCATTTACTTTTCCAATGTTCTGTTTAAACTTGTATAGCTTCTATCAGCACATTTACAGATAAGTGTTACTGGAACATTTGTAATCATTCCTTTCCCACAATAAATATCAGTGTTATGATGTATGCATTCATCATATCAACCCAACAAAAACAACAAATCAGTAAGCTCTCTTTACATGTTCACCAAAGCACATACAAAAATCATTAACTGCCCAAAGAATAGAGTGCTTCCTGGATTCATGTGGCTCTGACATTTCTAACAGAGTGAGCCACAGCTGACATTAACCTCAATAATGCCACCAGCAAAAGTGGTGAACAGAAAAAGAGGAGCCAAATGGGAACAAACATCACAGTTTCCCCGCAGAAAACCAAAAAAAATCAGCCAGCTTATTTTAGAATAGAAAAGACACAAATAAGAACCCAAAGGCTTCAAATTCAAAGGCAAAATCTTCCACTGATCCTCCTAATTACATGATTACAAAATAAAATAGAAAGAAAACATTCAAGGAAAGTTTCAGGACTTCCCCTTGCTTATAAATACAATACTGTATAAATAAGAGTACAAACGATTGTAGAAAAAGGATGAGGAGAGCAACTAAATCACAGCCTTGTCCTTGTGTGTGTTGGGATGTGTGGACAAGATGTTGCCACACCAAACAAAAACTGGAGTAATTATTGATCTGACTCACAGAAGTGTGGGTAATCTCCAAAAATCTCAAATTTGTGTCAATCAAAGTTCTGTGGATTCTTCTTTAGTGGAACCTATCACTGCAGTTTTTCTCCTCTATAGGGAAGCGAATTCATGACAGTATTTTAAATGAAAATAAAAAAAGTGAAATTCTGGAGATATAGTCAGCTTTTCAAACATCACACCATGTTGGGAATAAAGAAGCCTAAAATTTGACAGGCCGCTGAAGTCAGGGATCTTTGCTATGTGTCAAACTTTGACATGTAGTTGATTTGTGAGTAACAACAGTGTTGACCCAGGGTGAGTTTGGCTACAAGTTCAGCATTCTGTGATATCTGGGCCATATCTGATTCACACCACATTTGCTGGCACCACAGCTGAGCCTTAAACTCTTCCACCAAGTCACTGGTGACACATTGGGGGTTAGGGTTAGGCTTGGGTTTAGTTTGAGCTGCATGCTAAATAGGCAAAAAGTCAGACACTAGCAGATGACACGTTTTCAATGAAGTCACATAGTTTTGGCATTACAATCATTCTGGGTGTTCTAAGCAAGCACAAACTGTACAAAAAGGGGCGCATGTTAACCAACCCTAACTCTAACCCTAGATTGGCTGTCAGTGACCCGACAGCCCAAATTAGCCCCAAATGTGATACCTGGAAAGTGATTTCAGCCAACTCATCTCACACACGTCTACTTGAGTTGCTGATGGTTCATGAAGGTGAAAAGTTCCGCTGTGGTGAAAATCTTTCACACAATAAGATGTGGACAACTGACACACACATCAGTCCTACTCTGGACCAGAAGGTGGATTCTATCCCAGCATGCTTTGGGTGGACGATAGAGAAGCACAGTAAGACAATGTAGAGTGGCAACAATGACAAAAAAAAATCTTGCTTTAAATACCTACATCTGCACACAGCAGGACACAGACCAGTGAGGGCCAGGTTAGGGAAAGATTGTCATTGGGTAAGGGTATGGTGGGGATTAGGCAATTAAGTAACGACAGATTGCATTTTATTAACCCTAAACACAAACATTAAACAGAAATTCTTATTTCCTATGTCAAAGTTTGATGCTCTGTACCCATAAACCCAGTCTAGACATAAACCAACGTCTGCTGCTTACACTGCAAATCTGACTAAACTAACAATGTGATTGAATATATTTTTATGTATACTTTACCACCACCCTCTGGTGGCTATCCACCTAAAGCTTTTTGGAAACCGGCCTGACTGAGTTGCACCAACTCTTCATTTAGTTAGATAAACTGCTTTTGAAGAATGACAGATTTTTGTCCAAAAAATTCCAGTGGATAATGACAGAAATATTTTCTTGGTTAAGAAAAACACAAGTCAAGTCAAGAACACTCTCACGGAGGTAGCTGTACCATTGTCAAAAGCCGCACGTAAGTGACGACTTAATGTCTTTACACGGACACTGTGTATAATTTAAATAAATATTCTGAGAAGTGAAGATATGCACAGGTTCACCAATCTGCAAAAAAAGCACATTTACAAACTGTGGAACAGTTTAAGACCAGCGTTCCTCAAATTATGAAGACGCTCAATATCTCATCAAGAGTACACAATATCATCAAAAGACTCTGAGCACCTAGAGAAATCTGTTTGCAAGGGTCAAAATCAATATTGGATGCCTGTGTTCATGAGTTCAAAACAATCCTTATGCTGGAAATGACTTGAGTTTGTCCAGTTCTTTGGGGAATTCATATCAGGTGGACTAATAGGGACTGTATTCCTAAGCACTCTGTTGCTCCATTTTCTCTGTATCCATGCAATTTAAGTATGTGCTGCCTTCTCATTTATTTATTTTTGCATATTTGTCACACGACAGGTTCCAGATCATCAAGCAAATGTTAGACAAAGACAGCCTGAGTAAATACAAGTTGCACTCTTTAAAGTATGATTTGATTTGCTAAGGTAAGAAAGACAGCCAAACCTACCTGCTCACATAGGAACAGGCGTTGCTATTTAGCTAACATTTATCGACATGCTCACACGGATGCATCAGGGACAAATTGGGGTTCAGTATCTTGTCCGAGGATACTCCCACATGCAGACCGGAGGAGCACGGGATCGAACGTCTAACTGCTAGATGACCCGCTCTACTTGAGCCACAGCAACACGTTCTCACTCCACAGCCACCCCTAAATCTGCCAAGTATTAGTATTATGTTTGTGCTTTGAAAACTGTTGTGTACCTTCTATGCTTAAAATAAAAATAATGGCTTTTAAACCTTATTTTGGGGCAAAGTTGTCAGACCTTTTAAACTTTTTTTGCATTCACAGCTCTTTACCCAATTATTTTAAACGGCCTTGGATGATTCCAAATAACTCCCAGGAGAATTCCCAAAATGCCTGCCAGGTAGTAGGAAGTGAATTTAAAGACTTTCATGTTAGCTTTTTCTTTTTAAGCTGTTGGTTTTGTTGCTTTGTTCACTTAGCTGTATGCCAGTTACACATGGTGGTTAGTGGGTATAAATATTTAGTAACAACTAATCTCTGTGCAGAAACTGTCATTGTGCTGCAACCAGTTGTAGTTTCATCTTGCATAAAGTGCCACTTAGCAAACACATGGCTAAGTTTGAATTTATGAACAGCTGGTGCAACTGGCTTCAGTATGAACTATAGATTCACAAAAACCTGAACAATTAATCCCAACACTTAGAAGCAGAACAAGAGGTCTCATCTTTCTCATTGCACACAGTTGTCTTCCCTGCAAACACCTAGCATTTATTAGGTATGTAACAATTCTCTAAAAGCACAGTTTGGTTCAAACCTTGAATTGTCTTTAGAGGGGAGCAATAATAAAAATCAGTGACAAACATTCTTTTTACCACAGGCCAAGTCACTTAATCAGAAGTGGATCAAACAAAAACTACACTCCATGATTCAGAAGTGTTTCCAGTTCATTCGTTAACTGAACTGTTCCACCACTGGAGTCGTCGGCTTTAACTGGGAATTAATAAAGTTTACAAAAAATTTTTTCCGGGAGATGTAAATGGACTACAATATTGTGCACGTCGTGATGTCAGTCATGGGTTTCAGAAACATTCAGAAACCTGGTGCTTTGACCACTGACAGCAAGGTTGGAGATTTGTGTCTAGCCTGCGACAAACATACGCAACTCCACAAGAAAGCATTTCTGCCAACTTTTCTCAAG